GGCTGTTCCGGCGGCCATTTTGGACCCGCCGGACAGCTGATGGCAGCCATTTTGGCGCCCTCGTTGTGCGAGGGGAGGGCACGAAAATGGCTGCCGGCCCCTGGGAAGCATCGCACTACGGTGAGTATTCTATGGCATTGGAACGTATTAAACGCTGTTTAATGCGCTCCAATGCCTTTTTCTCTTCCGTAGTGCGATGTTTCCCACAGCTGTGCGGGGCACCACTGTATATAAATACAGACAGATAACAGTGAACTGAATCCAAATTGGCAGCTCTAGCAAGGGATCCAGCAGAAGTTGACTGCTGGAAGGAGTTAATCTTTCCTGATTCCTTTTACCTACATTGCTTTGCTGACTACTTTTAAGAGGGGTGGGAATCAGTTGTCCAGAGTAATTTGTCAGGAGGCACAGAGGTTGCAAGAGAGAGAGGAATCAGGAAGATTGCCTCTTTGCCCTATTCTTACATTGAAATTCAAACTCTGCCAAGCACCATTCTAAACCTGGCCCTTTAACTGTTCTGTACTTTTTGAACGTTAGCATACTTTTTCTGGAGTCTAAAGACACTTATATGTTATTCACTTGTAAAAGCTCTGTTTGGATCTAGAGGTACCTTGCATGAGTTCAGTTCATTGAATGATCTTCCACTGAAGTGCTTAACCCAATACACCACCCAGCATAGTTCCAGAGGGTCTCCAGACTCTTAAGAGTATATTTGGGGAGACACAGTGGGATGATGTACCAGAAATTGACACTTTTGTTGATCTTGATTGTATACCAGCTCTGTCTCTCTGAGCTTTTTTATCAAGAGATCATTGTGTTGGTATAACACACATTTCAGTTCATGCCACCTAATCAGTGTCAGTCACATTTTAAATTTACCATAAAGTCACTTTAATTACATGGTTTTTTTTACTGAATATTATTTAAAGAATAACATTGTTTAGGTCCTTAAATATGAAAATAGTTTTAAAAAATGCATAAACTCAAATATTCAAGAGTTTCATTTGCACATGTGAATCATATTAGCGTATGGAGTGGTTTTATGCCTTATACACCATATATTCCCATGACACACCAGTTTTTCTGCAACAGCAAACATCACTAAGCAACAATGAATACAGATTTAAGATCCCTGATTCAACTGGATATTCTTTATGTATGTAAACTGGTGTTTAGGCATGTGTACTTCTCATCCATGCTTCCTGTTTATTGCAGGAATCACCAGGATACGATTGTATGTCTATGGCAAATACAAGTAGTATCTAAGGCACTGAGTCGTCCTAATAAATAATAAAGTAAAATAACACGCAGACTAATTTTAAAGTATATAATGTGTTTTGTATTTAAAAGGTGCTTATTAAAACTATATAATATTTATTTATTGCAGTAAATTATTCCACGTTAGACCAGTAACACAGGGAGATGTATATAGAGCAGAAACTGAAGAAATTCCCAAAATATTTCAGGTAACAGCAACATTTTATGTAATGATTTTTAGGGTTTTTTTAACAATTTATCCCCTTTAGCTTTAAAAAAGCAACACCATTGTATGCATTTTTGTTGTTTTGCTCAGATTCTATATGCCAATGAAGGGGAATGCAGAAAAGATTTGGAAGTAGAAGCGGTACAACCAGCAGAAAAGACAAATTTTCTGAATCATAAAGGTCACGAATTTATTCCAACATTGTACCACTTTCCAGCCAATTGTGAGGCCTGTGCCAAGCCCCTGTGGCATGTATTTAAGCCACCTCATGCAGTGGAATGTCGCCGATGCCACGTTAAGTGTCATAAAGATCACTTGGATAAAAAAGAGGAATTAATTGCACCATGTAAAGGTAAGGCACAGTTTGATTATATTGTGCTTTGAACTGATATTTTAGTTTATTTGTAACAATGTATTATTCAAACTTACCTACATGGAATTCAGTTCCCATTGAAGTCAGTTGGACTAACTTATTTATTTAATGTATATATTCCCAAAATTTAATTTAAATATCCTCAAAACTTTTTTCCAAAATTGGGATCATGGCAGCCCCCTGATTTAAGTGAAACCTAAAGACTGCAGTCATATGCACAATGATATCAGGGTGAATTCCATTGAATTCAGCATACTTTAGAGAATTCATGTACTGTATAAGATTACACTGTTAAACTGGAGTAAAAATTTCATTATACTATTGACATAAAATTAAGTTGATTTTGACTAACTGAGGTCTTATTGATTACAGTTGATTTTCTCTTAAATGTACATACAGTTAAGGACAGGATATAGACACTGAAGTAAGAGCATTTTTAAGCGTAGAACATATTAGCAGTTTAGCAGTTATAGTACATTAACACAGGTATCTTGATGTTAGAATAGTGGCCCCCAGTCCTTTCCCAACTGCGGACCAGTTGGGTGTGTGTGGCATGCTTGCGGGGGTGTGGCGCGCCTGCATGGGGGTGGAGTGTGTTCGTGCGGGGGCGCATGCACACTGCGGTGCAGGAGGGGCACTCATGGGGGGCATGAGATCTGTGTCTGTGTCCTGGTCCTGCCTAGGCCACAGACCGCTGTCAGGTTGTGGACCGGGGGTTGGGGACCCCCTGTGTTAGAGGATATAAAAACTGGAATATAATACTCACCTCCAACTATATATACTGTATGTATGTCTGGAACCCCAGACATTCACTATATGCATCTGTAGAAATGGGCTTTGTGTCTACAAAAGCTCATACTGTAATAAATCTGTTTATCTTAAAGGTACCATATTCCTCCTTGTTACTTAACTACAGTAGCTGCCTGGTGGGATTTAGTTTAAATAAGATTTAATATTCTGAAAAGAGTCTGTTGTCCACTTTTAGTGTAGAAATTCTCTCCCCCCCATCTCTGGAGATTGCTGTCATCTAAATAGTTCCTAAATTTAGTATCAATTTGTCCATCTTTCTTTCCCTTGAATAAACTGACTCTCAACAGTATTACTGTGGTCTGATGATACGTACAGTGGTGCCTCGCTTAACGAGCGCACCGTATAACGACGAAATTGCATAGCGATCCGTTTTTTTGGATCGCTAATGTGATCGCTTACCGATGGCCCCTATGGCCGAAAATCGCTTTGCGAAGATGGGTAAGCATTTCGCTTACCGATCTTCGCAAAACGAAGCCGCGGATCAGCTGTTCGGTGGTTTCAAAATGGCCGCCGGAAGCCCTAAGATGGCCATGCGCAGCATTTTCACGCCCTGCCTTCGCTCACTGAGGGCGCGAAAATGGCTGCCGGACCGGGATGCATCGCTGAACGTTGAGTTTTTGCCCATTTGGAACGCATTAAACAATGTTTAATGCGTTCCAATGGGCTTTCCCGTCCCGATCAGCGATGTTTAACCATAGCGAAGGTTAATCCGGAACGGATTAACCTCGCTATGCGAGGCACCACTGTATTCATTTTCAGAGGGCCCTGAATACAAGACATAAGAGTTTCTGTTGATTAAGTACAGTAGTTGGTCTGTCAGTTGTATCGTTATGCCTTGTCTGTAGTTACAATGTTTTGTTTTATCTTAATAGTGAGCTATGATATAACTTCAGCAAGGGATATGTTACTATTGGCACCCTGTCAAGAAGATCAAAAGAAATGGGTTTCTCATTTAGTAAAGAAGATCCCCAAAACACCACCATCCAGTTTTGTTCGTGCTTCACCCAGAACTCTTTCTACAAGATCCACAGCAAATCAGTCATTCCGAAAAGTTAAGAATGCTTCTGGAAAAGCTAGGTGAGACCTGAATAAGTTTTAATGCTTTTGAAACAAAAAGGTCTGTATGTAAAATAAATGGCAAACAGTACTTCATTGAGTAGTTATGCCTCATTAAATTAAAATTTTGTGTTCCTCATTAAGAATACTTTGTAATGAGGGATTTTTTTTCCTAATTCTGTAAATCATTCCTTAGTTGTGTTTAAAAATTAGTAACAAGTCCTGTGAATGTAGAATGAAATTATTGAAGGGATTTTAGAACTCTGGTGTGTTTTGAGTAAATTGTTTTTTCATTGTACATAATTATAGAGATAAATGTCTTAGTATGTAAATAAATGATTTTATTTTTTTTCTATTCAAAATTTTTAAATTTTAAATTGTCAACAAAAACCCCAACAATTAAACCTTCCATCTGCTTTTCTGACCTAGTTTGGTTTCCCATAAAAAGAAAAGAAACAACACCTATTGAGTTTGTATGTTACAACACTAAATAAGAGAATTATCAGAAAAACCTGAGTGTCATGCTTTGCTTCAGATAATACTTGCTTACACTATCACTAGTTTGTCTGATTCAGTCACAATCATTTTGTTTCACAGCTTGTCAAAAAGTTCAGAATGATGACCTTTCTTTCCAGCAAGAAGCTTAAAATGTACCTTGTGAGGCATGTAGCAGACTGATCTTCCAAAGTGATCTCTGCTGCGGTAGCTTCACATCACCATACCTTTTTAAGATCTGCAGGTGTGACAGAACATATTAAAATGTGCATAAAGGGTTTAGTGAGCAGCTGTTCCAACAACAGTACTGATGAGGCAGTGGGTAATTTATTGCTTTAAAGAAGACGAACACTGGCACTCAATATCAACCCCAGTCCACATTACTGAAGTCTCCATGGAGAGGTACACAATCTTGCCAATCCAAGTATTGTTCCTGCTTTTCTTTTAAAAAATCATCTCAGAATTTCAAATATCTTTGATTTCCTGGGATACAAGCACTGATAATTCTTTGGATGTTCTGTGCATCTATTTCAAAGGTGCAACAATTCAATACAGACCTCTGGTGCCATACATCAGTGTTTGGTGGATTATGAACACTGTCTCCTGGGTTCATTTAATCATAGACCATGGGTGTAACATTGAATTTGTTCTGCTTTCTCCAGTAGAAGGGTTTTGTTCATCTTTGAAAGTTCTCAGGGTGACATTACCAGCTCACTAAATGCCATTTCACTCTGTCCCCTGGACACAGAGATACATAGTGTTCCTCCCCCCCCCCACTTCAGAATTCTAAATATAGAGTGTTGAAGCACATATTGGACAAGTAGATTGAAATCAAGAATTTTAGAAAAGTGACATTAACTTCCAGCCTTCCCATATTGTCCTGCTGAAGCTTTGTGTAGATCTTTTTGCCTCTTGAAATCACAAATATTGGCATTATTACTCCAGAGGCGATCAAGGACATCACTTTCTAGGGAATACTTTTCTTTGCCAGTGTCTGTGGGAATTCTTCTGTGCTTTTGCACCATTTCCTCTCATTCCTTGACTATTAGTAAAGCTTTAGAGAGCTATCTTGATAACACCAGGTTGGCCACGTTAATTATGTTTTACAACGTTACTTCTCTCATGAAGATAATTCTTAATAGTATCTTCTTGCCATGAAGATCAAGTGCAGCACCCCAAGGCCAACAAACTATGGTTAACAGCATGGAGGATTCATGCACAGTGAATCTGCTCCTTGCTATACTAAATGTACTACAGTTTTCAAAGAAGTTCTCCATTCAATGTAAATATGCAGGTAAATCATCACATTTCCTTTACTGTGCCATCTGAAAATCAGTCATATCAGCCAGCTACAGTTGAATTAGCACTTATCTTACTGGTAAATCTTGCAATCATATTTAAGAGTGTTTCTGGCAGGAGTTGTTGCTCAGAAGCTGGAGACATTATCATAGTTGTCTTTATTTTCTCAGCTTTTGGTGAAGAAGTTGCTCCTGGGCTTTGAAGTTTGTATCTGCCCAGATTCAAAGCAGTCTCTGACTGGTCTCTCTCTCTCTGTAGTGTTTACTCAGCTGCTTTCTTGGTTGCTATTCCATCATTGCCTTGAGCCAGTAAGTTACGTTTTTTTTGAGATCCGGCTCTCATTTCATGGTCTTTTATAAAGAGGAAGTCAGTCTTTGTTTTGCTGCTTTTTAAATTTAAAGTAGCATCTGACTTTCATTTTAATCAACCAGTTCTCTTACCAGCCTTTTTCACTTCTGCTGATGATCTGAAAGCAACTTTATATTCCTTGAATGTTTGCCAGGCATTAACCTTTTATGTCAACAGGACTAAAGAATTTCAGGTCTCTGATAATGTTTGTTATCTTGGGGGGGAAAAAGAGATCTTGTCTGTACCAAACATTTTGTTAAGTGAGTTTCTGCAGCTATTTCTTTAGCATTATATGTGTCATAGATATCATGAAGAGGGAAGAGATGTTGATTATGTGCAACTATAGTTCTTTGAGTAGTCATCTGTGAATTCACACAACCTACTTTCTTGTCAGCCTGTCATGTTTCCTTCCTTGGATAGTAGGAGCAACTGAGGAGAAGGAGTTAAGGTCTGTGCTTGGACATGGATTTGATATCCCACCTTTCTCGCTTAGCAATGAGCCAAGGTAGCTGACAAAGATTGATTAAAACAAAAACCTTTCTGAAGAGGTAACTTTTCAATTGCTAGTGGAAAGAAAGGTGGGAAGGAGACAAATTCCATCATATGGAACCAGCCACAGGAAAAAGTCCTCTCTTGAATCCTCTCCAAACACATGTGTGAAAGTTGTGGGACTGAGAGAAGATGTTCCTTTGAGGATGTTAATATATATGTTGTCTCGTATAGGAAGATATTGTCTTTTAGATAGCTTGAACCTGAGCCATAAAGGGCTTTAAAGGTCATGTGTGGGGAGGGGAAGGGAGCTGCATTTAGCTCTGAAACATTCTGGTTGATGAATTAACAAGACCCTAGTTGTGTTGAATTCACAGGTGACTACCTGAAGAGTTACAGTTATAGGTAAGCAAAGTGTCCCAATTCTGCTTTGGGTTTATTTCTTTTTTTCTTTCTTTTAATTCAATTTATCTAGAACAGACATTGATAAATACAGTATTAGCACAATGACAATTGGATATCCCTGAAGCTAGATAGACTGGAATATATATCACTTTAGTGGAATCTACAATTAATAAATGCTAGTACCAGTGGCCTGATATTTGTGAGGGAGAAATGTATGAGGCTTTAGAACTGTTTACTTCTTATTGCACCTGTTGAGCATCCCGAAATATAGAATCTATGAAAAAGATTAATATAATTGGTGTTATATTTTTATGATCCTGCTGCTAAAATTAATGTGGTTTTAAGACTTAGGCTGCCCATAACATCTGAAAAGCTTAGTAAAAATAAAATTGATTAAGTTTGAAACTAGTTAATTAATACTAGTTTGAATTCGGTTTATTCTTTGTGAGATTTTCAACATCTACTTCTTTCTGGACATTAGTAACTTAGGATGGTTATTTTTTAAAATCAAATTTCATTTCAGATATTTATCTTGCTTTATAAATATATTTATGAAAAGACAGCAGAAATTTTACACACTATACACTCTTGGTTAGAAATGCATATATTATTAAGGGTACATCAACTGGTTCAGAGGAAATAATCTGCTTTTTTTCTACAAAACAAGATTTACGACTGATCTATGGTGTCTTGAAAATCTTTTAGATTTTTCCTTTATTCAGAAAACAGTCATATATTGTATTAGATTCTGTGAATATATATCTCATTGCTTTTGATTCTGAATATTTTAAGGATACAATCTTTTAATGTACCTGCTACAGCATTACTTGAGAGATAAAAAACCCAACTTTCAACAGTGGTAGGCTTTTTCTTCTTCTTGCCAGAACAGCTCATTTGTTTCTTTTTCCCCACGGCCCATGAGTTGAAACTTTTTATCAGGTCACACTTTTTATTCAGTATTAGCATTCAGATCACATCTTCGAGACCACTTTTTTTCATCCAGAGTGTACAATCATCACTCAGTACGTAATGAAATAGCCGCCACATGTTAATTTCTAAATTTCAATAGGTCAAAGGAATATGGATCTATTGGGGACATTACTCATTCAGAAAACTCAAGTTACTGGTGAGTAGCTTTTGCTTGTAAAATTTCTGGCACCCATGTCAAGTAACAATATATAGAAAACAGATTTTTGTAATGAAGAAAGAACAAGGAAACTGCTATTACTTCTCATACTGCAACATTTTTGAGAAGTCTCTTGCTCTCTTTCAGAAACTTCATTAGTTCTGTACTTTCTTTTTCTTGATACTGTTTGTGGCAAAACAGTATATATATCCCCATGACTCTCTTGCATCCTACCATGTAGTATATGCCATGGTGATGGAGGCCATTCTTGGGAAAGTACATTTATTTCCCTAATGTACTTTCTAATGCTTCACTAATCTTATGGTGAAGGTATGCTTTGTTATTCACAGTGCAGCCTAGGCTGAGAAAGATTTGTGCCCGTTTTCATCGGTATTACAATGCTGAGGATACTGGTTGAAATTGAGTGAGATGGGATTGGTGGAAATATTCTCATTTGTTGGTAATGTCACAATCAATTTAGTGACTAAAATGCTGCCATAATACTCATCCTATATCTTCCCTTTCTCCTTGTTTTCAGTTTGTCTTTCAGTTTGCTCTGCTTTTTCCTCAGGATGGGCAGTGTAACTTACTTGGGGCTTTTAAACCTTTCTTCATTCAGACACTACCGATTTGAAAACTGCCCAGGCACTAACAGTTTTTCTTCCACTCTCTTCTTATACGGCTCCTCAGCCACTTTAAGAACACAAGGAGCTAAGTTGTAGATGCAGAGCTGTTCAGGAAAGAAGCACAGAAGTGGAACAGAGTTGACTTGGAGAACTTTGATCAAGGTGTCTAGCACTAGTCGTATGGGAAGGGACATCAACCTGCACTAATAATGAATATTATTCCTCCACATGAGTTTGGGAGGGATTTTTTTAAGGTCAAAGTTGTTCTGTGGGCCAATGTTTACTTTTATATTGTTTTCATTTGGCTTGCTCATACCATTTGAGCCTGATCCTTCCCATAACAACTATAGCATGTTCCATGTAAGTGAGCAAATCAAAATCAGGATGGCTTCAACAATTATTGATTGCTTGATCGATTGATTAATTGGATTTCTATCCTGCCCATCTAGACCAAAGGTCTGCTCTATTATGCCAAAGAATGAATTGCAGACAACCATATTGAATCACTGATTGGCAGATTCTCAACATTTCTTTTATTTATTTATTTATTTAATTTATATGCCGCCCACATACATGAATGATAGTGAATTAACTCTGTGATTTCCTGAACAGCGAACCAGAATACTTATTTTTTAATCTAAAAATTACTATCTCTTATGAAAACAAAAATCATGATATTTCACTATAATGATATAGCAGACATAATAAGTGAAGCTACCATGATTTCCTTAGTACTAAGACAGTACTAGAAACTGAACGTTCAAAAAATTAAGTATTTTTGTATATTTGGAAATGAATTATTGATTGTTACATCCAAAATACTTTATTATTTTCCTATGCAATTTGATCTTTTTCCTTCCATGATACCTAGAGCGTTATGCCCCAAAATGCAAAACTCTTAGTTTTTTTTATAAAACTTATTTCGGCATTTACTCATTTCCCACCATCACACTAATCACCAATTAACTTAGGATCATTCTGAACAGAAAATGTTTATTTAGAAAAACAAACAAAATATCTCTAAATAAATAATTGATAGTAACTTTATGAATAAATTTTTAAAAAGTCTTATTTTAAAAGCTTTGTTTTTAGATTATGCATGGACCAGTAATAAAGAAAGTTGTACTAATTATGTTCTTAAACTAAAACAAATGTAAACATTTGCAAGATTCTGTATTATGATATAATTTTACCAGAATATGAGGCCTGGAAAATTACAGCATGCGTTCAATACCAAGATCTATTACTTCCCCATATTGTAGTTGCTATAGTAAAAATATGATAAAATACCAAATATAAATTTTAATGTCATGCTTACCATCATTATAGCAAAAATTTCATTGTTATTGTTTATTCCATGCATCAGGATTATTTTGTCAGTTGCAGCTTTCTAAAACAAATAATGATGTCCCACCAAAAATGTAGTTTTTAAAAGATGCTGTTTTCATATAAGTACCAACACTCTTTGTATGTGAAATATTATAAGTGGTGTGGCTTTAATGTGGTTCTGGATCATTAAAACTCTGTAACAGTATAAATGCTACTGGAATATTTTCTAGAAATATGGCTTCATTTCAAAATAACTCCAGTTTAATATAGAAATTGCATAGTTACCACATTCCAAAAACATGTGGCATAGAAACTGTTGGAGCACAATAATCCCCTACTATGTAAATTCACTTGTGAGTGGTGTTTTTGTTGTTCAGAAAATATGCACTGAATATGTGTTTACTTTGCTATGCCCAAACAAGTATGTATCTGAGAAAATGACATAACTCAATAGCACAGCAATTAAGCAGTTTTCTTTGGTCTGTTAGGAAACAAAAGGAAAAAAAGGAGAATAGCAGGCTGAAGGGATCATGTTAGATGACAAAATAGGCAATTTTCATAATGGCGAGAAGTGAAAAGCGGTGTGCCCCAAGGATCTGTCCTGGGGACCAGTGCTTTTCAACCTGTTCATAAATGACCTGGAGACATGGATAAGCAGTGAGATAGCTAAGTTTGCAGATGACACACAACTTTTCTGGGTGGTGAAGAACAGAAGAGATTGTGAGGAGCTCCAGAAGGATCTCTCCAAACTGGGGGATTGGGTGACAAAATGGCAAATGTGTTTCAATATAATAAAATGTAAAGTAATGCACATTGGGGGGAGAAAACTTTATTTATCAGCTGATGGGTTCTGAGCTGTCCATGACGTATCAGGAAAGAGATCTTGGTGTGCTGGTGGACAGCTTGATGAAAGTGTCAACCCAGTGAGGGGCAGCAGCGAAGAAGGCCAGTTCCATGCTAGGTATCATTAAAAACGGGATTGAAAATAAAACAGCCAACATGATGGCATTGTGCAAAATGCTGCTCAGGCTGCAGCAGGAGTACAGTGGTGCCCCGCAAAACGCTTACCTCGCATGACGTCAAAATCGCTTGACGATGACATTTTTGCGATCGCTATTGCAATGCTTTATGTTGATTTGGAGCCTGTTTTTTCCGGATCCGCAGAATGGCTTTTCCGGTTCCACAGAATGGCTTTTCCGGTTCCACAAAATGGCTGCCTTCCCTTCTCAAAATGGCTGCTTTCTGGTTCCACAAAATAGCTTCCCTCCCTTCTCAAAATGGCTGCTTTTCGGATGGAAGCTTTGCATTACAGCGATTTTTAACAGCTGATCGCCGGTTCTTTATGGGGAATCTTCGCTGGACAATGAGGTATTTCCCCCATAGGAATGCATTGACCGGTTTTCAATGCATTTCACTGGGGGTTTTTTCCGCTTGATGACGATTTTGCATAACAGCGATTTTTCTGGAATGCATTATCGTCGTCAAGCGGGGCACCACTGTACTGCCTACAGTTCTGGTTGCTGCACCTCAAAAAAGACATAGTGGAATTACAAAAGGTGCAGAGGAGAGTGACTAAAATGATGACTGGGCTGGGGTGCCTCCCTTATGAGGAAAGGCTATAGTGCTTGGGGCTTCTTAGTCTAGAGAAAAGGTGCCTGAGGGGGGACATAACTGAGACGTATAAAATTATGCAGGGGATGGATGAAGTGGATAGAAGGAAGCTTCCTTTCCTCTCACACAATACCAGAACCAGGCAACATGCAGTCAAATTGAGTGTTGGGAGAGTGAGAACAGATAAAAGAAAATATTTCTTTACCCAGTGTGTTGTTAGTCTGTGGAACTTGTTGCCAGAGGATGTGGTGATGGCATCTGGCCTAGATGCCTTTAAAACGGGATTGGACAGATTTCTGAAGGAAAAGTCAGTCACAGGTTATAATCTCCAGGCTTGAAAGGAAGGTACTTCAAAATGCCAGATGCAGGGTATCAGGAGACAGGTATCTAGTTGTCTCATGTGCTCCCAGAGGCATCTGGTGGGGCCACTGTGAGATACAGGAAGCTGGACTAGATGGGCCCTTGGTCTGATCCAGCAGGACTCTTCTTATGTTCTTACGTTCTTTTAAAACAGAAACCTCAAATTTCCTAGGTGAAATACTGGGCTCATAGTAACCAAAGAGACTAAATGAACCCTAGTAATAAGTTCCTTCCCATAAAAACATGAATAAAAAATTAGTGTCAGAAGCTTGTGTGACAAACCCAGACCTACTGGGATATGTCCCACAGTTACACTAAGCTGCCACCAACCATTCCCTTTAAGAAGTCACACAGACCAGGGATGGATTTTCAAACAAATAAGGAATAAGGTTTATTTTAAATACACACATGGAAAAATAAAACGATCAGGTGAATAAAATAAAGTAACGTGGCTTATTCTCACTCATACAAGCATACAGTTTGGTTCACACAGAACCCTTAACTTGAAGCACAGACCCTGAACCTATCAGTTCTGGCTAACCAACAGACACCCACTATACTGTACAAGGTTTACTACTTTTGTCAAGAGAAAGCCAATTTGGAAAAGAATTGTTGAGTACGATTGAACCCTGAGATCTAGTGAACTGCTGCAGTGCTTTGAGAGAGATGGTGGTGGTTTTTTGTTTTGTTTTGGGTTTTGATGTTATTTTGTAGATGTGGGAATGTACAGATATTTTCCCTCTTCAGGTGGCACAACACCATACTAATTTGTGAAATAGACAAAATGCTACCTTCTACCTTCTTTTGAGATGGTTTCTGTAGATAGAACAAATCCTAGTTAGTTTAGTTTTTATTTGCCTGCCATTCTGATCATAAGGTAGACCGAGGATGAAAGGATTCGGGTTTTGCTAAAAAAGTTAAATAGCTGCATAGAGCAGCCCCAGTGATTTAGGAAGGTTATAACACTGTTGACTTATGAAACTATATGGCATAATGTAAAATTATTGAAGCAGTTCTAATGATTGTTTCTCTCTCTTTCTCTTATTTATTCCAGTTAACAATACGTGCAGTGCTCCTTGGAATCCAGCATGGTGCTGTCTGAGAAATCTGGCCTTTTTTCACCATATAGAGCAGTGCAGATTGGTTGGCTTTCCAATGCAACTTTCACAGGCTTCAGAGCTCAGACTGCTATTACTCTCTCCTCCTTCCTTTGGCATAAAAGCACGCTGAGGGTGTCTTGTTGCGGGTTTGCCTTAACATAGATTAGATTAATTATTACTGTGTAATGCAAGTAAAAGCAAATAAAGCTTAGCTACAAGTGAGGTTAAAATGCTGCCTTTGGGATTTCTAAAAAATAAAAATGTCTGTCAGTCTTGATGGAATGCAGTGGCCTTTTCTCATATCAGTGAGAATAAGATGACTGTTTACCCTGTGGGAGGGGTATTTATATTGGGATAAGCACACAGACTTGAGTATAGGAAGATGTCTCAAACTGAGAACTGATTTTCTTTGAAAAATCAAAGTTGTGCTGAAAAACCCCCCAGTAAAAACTGCTTGAAAACAAAGCTACATATAATCACTTGAACTTCAGTGCCTTTTCTGTGTTGTTATTAATAATGCTACTAATTCATCATGAGACAGTTCAAAAGTGTTAAATATTTTGCTTTACAAACTACTAATTCTACATATTTGTAAAGGGGGAGAAATTGAGTAATTATGTGTACGCTATGCATTGTTGCCAAGCCATACAAAATTGTACTTCTAGAGGCATTAGAACAGGTAAAACAACCAAGTTTGGAACCTTTTTTGGTACATAATTTTTCTATAATTTGTGTAACACTTTGTATTAACAATTTGAAGTGCAAATTGCAATAAGCACACACAACAAAATGTATGCACTGTTCAAAATGTAAATTATTAATAGAATACTTTTAAAGGATGTTGCCCATTTAGTGCCTTATTTTGAGAATTATTTTACTGCCATGTCAAATAAGCGTAGAATTCTCAAATACATATTATTGTGTGTCAGTGGTTTTATTGATCAAACTATTGTAGTTGATTTAGTTACATTTTCAAGTGTACAATTATGAATGAACTCGCCTGTTGCCAAGATATATTTTAATCATCATAAAGGTAGTAAATGCTTGTACCATTTAAAAACAACAACCCTTAAATACTTTAAAATTCCAGACAGTACAGGAATTAAATGCATTTAAATTCTTGTTTTGTAGCAGGAATATTATTGTGGTATAACCAGTATGGTTTGTTTTATTTTTTAACCAAATACCTCTTCAGTAATTTATAATGGCTTTGCAGTTGTGTATTAAGTAAGAAGCACTGGAAAACTGATTCGTCTTCAGGACGATATGCATGTTTTGAGTGGTGTTGAAAGCCGCACTAATGGATATGTAATAAGCATATCTGTTATGAAAACAATAATGATTCATGCTGATAATACAAAATAAAACTAATTTATGGAAGAACTATTTTGAAAATGACTGTGGTATTTTTCTCCAGAATACACTTCCTAGGAAGTTTTGGAAATTATTACGCTTTTCAAACAAGTGAACACTCTTAATATTTAAATCTGATACAAACTTGATAATCTTTTTAAAATTACGTTTTTATAATGTCATAATTACTTTTTAATACAGGGTAAAGTAGAAAAATTCTCATAGGATTTTGAAGAATTTATTTTGATATGTGAATTGTTAAGATCCCCTTTACATAATGGTTTTCATCAAAAAGAAATACCAGGTACACAGCTCTAAAAAAAACACATGTACTTTTAATTTATAATTAAATCATGGTTAATAGTAAAACTGTGTCTAGCTTGTTCTGCACTCTGGAAGTCAGTGATACTACTCTATCACTATGCAGAAGTAACATGCACTTCAGTGAAAATTGGACTGGGTGGCCAGAAAGGATTGGCCATGAGTAGGAGAAGGATGAGATGGTAGGTTGCAGCAGAAGAGCTGAAAAGGAAGGCCAGAATTGTTCAGAAATAGTTTTGTGGGCCTTGCGAAGGGGGTAGTAATTTTAGAGATAAAAGGAGGAAGGATTGTTGTAAGAATGGGCACAGTAAGGTATAAAGCGCAAAGGGTAGGAAGAGAGGGAGGAAAAGAGAGGTGAGATACTATGTGGGATAGCCAGGGAGTAAGAAGTGTTATAAAGGGAAGCAGGTAAGAAGTGAGGGACAAAGAGGTGGGGACTTCAGGACTTGAAACAGATTCAAGAAGTCAACAAAAGGGGGCTTGTTGCCATAGTGAACACAGGGAGAAATGACCTTAATTAAAGGAAAGACAAACAAACATACAGTCAGTAATTTTGCTGTTTACTTTGCTTCATTCTAATGGTGAGGCTTCAGAAATACATTTTTGAAACCACACCCTTAGAATCAAGCAAAGCACCCTTTATACAAAAATGTATGAAGTAATATGATTCATTGCACATTACTCTCATGAAGATGAATAGAAAGTAATATTTTATTTACAAATTGGTTTAAGCATTATCCCTAAAAGTGGAATTTACAACTTTGTTGCCAGAAACAGAAAATTGGTCAAGGGCATGAGGGCACCTAGATGGACATGAACTCAAAACCATGTATCCATGTCATAGCTTAATAATACTAGTACTGTTACAGAATGTAGTAGGATAGAGAGAGTATTGATGTATAACAATAACTGCTCTTTCATGAAATATTATATGGGTTTTCAGTGCTTTCACATTTGACATTCTGGAGAATTATGCCTAATCATTTAAAATGCCCAGTTGATTTGGTGTGTGTGTTCAGCTTAAAAAAAAATCTGATTCCTGATTATTTCTGGATTTGACAGGCCTCTCCTCCATGCAATGTTTGTACATTGGTGTTTCAATGCTCCAGTGTGAACAATGTATTGTTATAGAATGTGTTCTGTGTTACCAATACTGTTAGTTTTCACTTTGTTGGTTTGTTATCTTGTGTTCCTCAACCCACCTGTATATATATCCACCACCTTCTCAGTCCATTTCATGAATCATTTGGAGTAGCTGTTGCCTGTTAAACATTATGCTGCAATAAACAAATGAGTCTTTAAAGTGCCACAGCAGTTATTTCTTGTTGGTCTATGAAATGACTACTTTTCTAAAGTGTTATTTTCAGCAGCTGGTACAATGAACATCTGCAATATATACTTTTTGAATTGTAAAAATACAATTTTTTAGGGACAAGCCAGTATGAACTTGGAGAACAGCAGGGTTTTGTTGTTGTTGTTGTTTTGGCTTTTGGTAAATACTAAGTGATCCTGAAGTTATTTTCACGAGAGACCACATGGTTTTCCTCAGGCCTCTGGCAACAGAATAAATCAAAGGGACTTTGAATTCTGCAACAGAGGAAAGAGCAACGGAGAGGCTTAAGACTTGTTGGCATGAGGATAGCTGAAGTTAAGCATTTCGATTCAAGAATGTTGGCTTCCAATACTTGGCACACACACTTTTTTCTCAAAGGACTTGAGAAATAAATGTGGGAGTTTTCTCCTGGCTTGTTCTTACTCTTTTCTGTTTAGTACACAATAGGGTAAGAAAAGGTGAGGTGGGTATGTGTGTTATGTAGGGCTCTTTCCAAAAGGGGCCAGGAATTGATGGCATCAGCCAGAAAGCCAACTTGCTACTTTGCAGAACAGAGTTTCTCTCTCTTTAATAGCCCCAGACAGTCCCTGAAAAGCCCCTTGTTCTTCCATAACTACTGATCAATTGCCATCTTGAAAAATCTTTCCTAAGTCCAGGTTATGTAGTTCTGTTTTATATGTTTTCACTAGGGCAAACTGCTTTTGAATTTTTCTTTTTACATTGGTTAAGTGGAGAAGTGAGAAAGATGCAAGTGAGAAGGTAGAGTAGAGGGGAAAGGCCAAATAACAGAATAGTCCGCAGCAGGTTTTGTTTTTGTTTTATTTCCTCCACATATAGGTCAAGCTATGGCAAACTGTCTGAAAGTTGTTCTTTTTTATAGTTTTATACAAAATGGACTGAGTCTAGTTGGTAGTCTTAACTAAAGTAGGTCCACAGAACTGATGGAATTGAATAAGTGTTGCTTCAGCATTGGACATATTAGTTTTATTCTATTTAGGATTATCATTTGGGTTTAACCTTACTATTTTTATTGGTTTCTAGTGCTGGGAGGGCCTGAAACCAAGGTTTTTGTTTAATTCCAGAGACTTTGGAGTCTTCAAGTTCAAATTTTGCAAAATTGTGTTTCACTATATATGTGGTTCTGGCAGCATGTTTCAAATTTACGATATTATATGTAATTTATAATGTCAGATATATGCAATAAATACATATTAAGAATATTTTCCATTCTTAAAAGCAGAAAGATTATCAAATAATCTGTATATCATATTTCTTAGTTTCTTAGCCTCACCTAATGACATTTTTGCATAATCATATATACTTAATGCAGATTTGAGTTTTCCCATGCTTACACAGCTGGAACCTAAACTGAGTACTCACAAACAAGGGAGAGATAAAATCACTCAGGGCAATCCAAATTTTGCAGCTATTAACTGAATAGCTTAGCTATTTAGGGGGGAAATAATCAAGACAGGAAGAGATAATATAAGAGGGAGTTGCTGAATAGGGCAGTGACATGAACACATGCTGTGTTTCCCTGAAAATAACACAGGGTCTTATATTAATTTTTGCTCCAAAAATGCATTAGGGCTTATTTTCAGAGAATGGTTTTTTTTTATGTACAACAATCTACATTTGTTCAAATAGAGTCATGTCATCTGGTTGCTGCACAATGGTGGAGGGCGGGGTTTCACTTAATAAGGGCTTATTTTGGGGGTAGAGCTTGTATTACGAGCATCCTGAAAAATCATACTAGGGCTTATTTTCAGGTTAGATCTTATTTTTGGGGAAATAGTAGTTGCAGCGAAATGACAAATGGTGATGTCATTCCTGTCTGTCCATCACAGAAGCTCAAGGGGAGGAGCCAAGGATAGGGCAGGAGGGGCGGAGTTAGAGAGACAGACAGAAGGACAGTTAGACAGAGACAGTTGGAGATGTGGAATGGCAGATAGGGTTTAGAAGAGAGAAGGAGAGGGTTAGTGATTTGAGCTGGGAGTGTTAGGAGAGGGAATTGAGATAAAAGATATTGAACAAGCAGGAATGAAAGTACAGTGGTGCCTCGCTTAACGATTGCCTTGTTTAGCGATGTTTTTGCTTACCGATGGGTTTTTTTTAAAAAAGAATTCTATGCATCATTTAACGATGTTTCCTATGGGCGATTTTCGCTTAGTGATTTCGGGACCATGCTTCACATAGCGAATGCATTTTTAGGTCCCCTGTTTCGCTTAACGTTTTTTCAATTTTAAAAGTGTCTTAAAATGTTCAAAAATGTTTTAAATGCTTGGAATCGTTAGTGCACCTCCTAAAACGTGTGCAAACTTAATTTGGCTTTGATCTGGCTTTTCGTTAATTTTTGGTGAATTTTTTTCTCCCCCATAGGAAACAATGGAGCCCAACTTTTGACAGCTCCATTGTTTCCTATGGGGGAGAAAAAAATTCACCAAAAATTAAC